CCCCCAGTGCCCTAGTCACTGTGTCATCTGGGGTCTTCTCCCTTCTAAGCAAGATGTCCTTCTTCAAGAACTGGTCCCTCAAGGAAACATGTCCAAAGTATGTCAGACAGAGCTCATTCCTCCTCACAAAGTCCAGCCTCCGGAATGATCTGTTCCACACATAGACCGAAAAGGTATCACATTCCTCATGTACTTCTTTCATGATTTTTAACTATGCAGTGTTTCCTTGCTCAGTTCTGATGATTGCTTCCTGGTCTAAGAATAGGTTTTACATGAGCACAATCAAGTATTCTAGGATTCCTGTTCTTCTCAAGGTTAGCCACAATTTTCTGTGATCCACACTGTCAAATGCCTTTGCATAGTCAACAAAACACAGATGAACATTCCTCTTGTACTCTCTGCTTTCAGCCAAGATACATCTGACATTGACTACAATGTCCTTTTCTGAAGCTCAATGGCCTCTTCTGAACCCAGCTTGCACTTCTAGTAGTCCCAGTCATTTTTCAATAATCTTCAGCAGAATTTTCCTTGTGTGTGATATCAGTGATGTTGTCATTATTAGGTGTCATTGAGTCAAGTATGACTCATAGCAACCCTGTGAACAAAAGACCTGAAACCTGTTCTGTCCTGCACCATCCTCACACTTCCTAACACACAAGTGCCCATTGCAGCTGTCACCATGTCAATCCACCTGGTTGAGGGTCTTCCTCTCCCCTTCACCAACCCTCCACCCTTCCCAGCATCATGTCCTTCTCCAAGGAATAGCCCCTCCTAGCAGCATGTCCAAAGTATGTGAGGTGAAGCCTCATCAATATTCTTACCTTCAAAGGGCACTCCAGCTGCACTCTCTTCAAGACATTTTTGTTCTTTTGGCCACTTATGGGATGTTCAGTGCTCTTCTCCAACACCACAGCCTAAAAGCATCATCATCTTCTGTCATCCTTATTCACTGTCCAGTTCTCAGATGCATAGCAAGTGATTAAAAAGACTATAGCCTGAGCCAGACATACCTTAGTCCTCAAGGTGGCATCATTACTCCTCGATAACTTGTGTTAATTGTGTTTGGGGAGAACACTGTTCTAAGTGGTACAGCACTTGTCTGTCAGTTTGCTGTACTGAGGTAACTTGGGGTTGCTGTGCTACTGAAAGCTGTGTCACTGGTGTGTCAAATGCCAAAAGGGTTACTCATGGTGGACAGGATTTGGTAGAGCTCCAAGATCAAGACAGACTAGGAGACAGGATTGGCATCCACTTCTTAAATATCAGGTCTTTGAAAACCCTATGAACACTAAAGGAATGAGGATATTAGCGATATTGTTTGATAATTTCCACACTCTGTAGGGTCATCTTTATTTGGGGGGGTGGCAATAAATATTGAACTTTTCCAGCCAGTTGTCCAGAGAGTCGTCCTCCAGATTTCTTGGTACAACTTGGTGAGCACATCCAGGGCAGCATCTGTTTGTAAAAATATGTCAACTGGTATTCCATCAATTCCTGGGGGCTTGTTTTTTGCCAACTCCGAGCAGCTTCAAGAACTTCCTACATCATCACCACTGCCTCTTATCACATGTTGTTTTGTGAAATTCTTCTGTGTCAGCCAATTATTTTTGGTACAGGGACGACTCCTTCCATCTTCTTTTGTTGCTTCCTGGATCATTCAATATTCTGCCCACAGCATCCTTAAGTATTGCCTCTCAGAGCTTGAATTTGTTCTTCAGTTCCTTCAGCCTAAGAAATGCCGAGCATATCCATCCCTTTTGATTTTCTGACTCCAGCTCTTTGCACATTTCATTATAATACTTCGCTTTGTCTTCTCAAGCTGCCCTTTTACATCTTCTGTTCAGCTCCTTCACTTTCTGATTTATTCCTTAGCTTTGGTTTTATATACTGGACATTATTGATGGAGACAGATCTCCTTTGTGGTGTCAGTGGAAGTTGCACTTGGCCACCTCCATGTTGTCCCTTCTCCTTTTACACCTTTTGTCCACCTGACACCACACAACAGTCACATCCTGTCATCAGGGAATTGTTTCTGAGTTTTGTTGGTTTGTTTTAAATCAGTTGCATGTTTGCCTGTGTGGCTGTGTGTGTATCTGAGTTTTTGTGTCAGGTGTCTGAGCGTGTCAGTGGGTGTAACCTTGCATGCTTGCACATGAGTGTGTTCACACTGATTTGAGTATGAATAGTGTGTGAGCATTACTGTGTGTGTGCCTGCATCAGGGTGTGTGAGTGTGTGTTGTATGTGTGAGCTGGCGTGACCGTAAGCATTTATGGGAATGGTGGCTTTGTGTGTGAAAATGGATGTGTGTGTGTGATGTGTGTGTGTGTGTGTGTAAGAGAGATAGAGACAGGCCCCAGGCTGGGTCACCTGGTGAGAAGTCCTCCCTGGTGCCCTTCAAGGCTCTGTAGAAGGCTTCCTCTAGGAGCAGCAGAAAGTTATTTGCCAGAAGTCTCTGATCTAGGCGGAGGGTGGTCCTCTCAAAGAGTCCAGGTGGTCAGGGGTCCCCATCCTCAGTCATCCCACTCCAGGGGCTACCCCAGGATTGGAGCTGGCTCTCAGGCTGGCTATGCTGTGCACATGGGGTGGGCGGTGGATGGGTTTTGTCCTTGGGACATCTCAAAGCCTGAGATCAACCACACATTGGTCAGTCTGCAGCCCCGGCTGGTGCTCCCCGCCCCCCGCCCCAGCCCTGTTTCCTGACTACAGAGTAGGGTAACCCGGTCCTGGGGGTTGTGTGTAACGCTGTCATGTATACACACTCCACACACACAGCATGTCCTCTGTCCCTGAGTGCACACCAGAACACTGTCAGCATTCTCATTTGCTGCCACATGCTGGGGACACATTTGAGTAAAACACACTAGTTACCAGCCTCAATGCACCTGCCCTGCTTGCTAAGTAGACATTACACACCTGAGAGTCAGAACACCAGGGAGGAGGGAGTGACCCTCACACAGTCCCTCAAGGGGATGCAGGCCAGGGAGGAGCTGGGGATCTCACACAGCCCCTCGAGGGGGGCGTAGACTGAGGGAGAGCACTGGGGACCCTGCACAGACCCTCGAGGTGATGTACACGGCCCCTTGAGGGGACAATGACCGCAGAGGGGAGCTGGAGACCCCACACAGCCCCTGGAGGAAATGCAGACCAGGGTCCTCACACTCATCCATGGTTTTGAATCTTCCACATGATTGTAACTTTTGACTTCTGTTGGGGAAATTTCTACAAAGAGTAGTTATTTCTACAGCCAGAGAAACAAGCGAAATAAATCTTCCATCTTTATGCAAATCTCATGCATATTATTTTCTTTGCAAATCATGCAAGCTCCAAGCAAGTTTCTGGTGCATGTTATATGGGCGTGCACATTATATGAGCGTGTGTGTTATACAGGCATGCACGTTATATGAGTGTGTGCGTGTTATACGGGCGTGCACGTTATGTGAGTATGTGTACTGGCTGCAGAAAACGGGATCATTTAAAGACTAGAAAACTCAAACTCATTGGCATCAAGTTGGAGCCATCTCAGAGCTGACCCCTGAGGGCTGAAGGCTGTAAATTGCAGGAGAGGATATTGCCCGTCACTCCCCTCGGTGGATCCGAACTGCTGGACATATGCTGCCCTTGGGTCAGCAGCACGACTTCCTACCAGCTAGGTGACCAGAGTGCCTTCGAGTAAACACTCAGAGGAGATTCAAAACAGTCAACAGTTAATACCTTGGAGAAGGGTTTTGTGGGTATTTATAGTCTTGGAAAGAATTTTCCAACTGTCCTAGATGAATACATGCTATTTTTTAACAGTGAAAACCCAACATGTTCTAAAGAAAAAAAGACTGAGGGGACACACACACACATCTACACACACAGGGAGTCTGTGGCTAAGGGTAAAGAGCTGCACTGTGAGCCTAACAGCACACGGTTCGGAACCAGCCGCCTTTCTGCAGAAGGATGGGCAGTCTCCTCCTGGGTGATTTACCGCCTCTGAAAACCCACTGGAGAGTCAGCTGTGGGCCAGTTCTGACTCAATGGTGCACGCGTGCACACACACAGAGACACACACAGAGAGACACACAGACACAGACACACACAGACACAGACACACACACAGAGGTTTTGTCTGTGGGGGTAGGATTATAGATGACAGTTTGTTTTTTTACTTTCGGCTTTCATTAAGATCCAAATTATCTAAATCAATATAATAATCACTAGCTTAAAAGCTTCTTTAAATTGCCACCTCCAGGAATGAGTATTTTAAATGCAAATGCACTCTACACACACATCTTCTCATCACACCACACAAACACACACACACACACACTTCATCGCCTTCCCCATACACACTCCTACACACAACACCACACACACATGGCACCAACACCAACCCCTGCAGCCTTGAGCTGGCCACCCCGGAAGGGCAATGTGCCCACACCGTCTTGGGAGCTGCAGGTCAGGACCAAGCAATGGGGCTGTCCCTGCCTTGCCTGCCCCTGTCCCATCTGCATTTCTCCACTGTCTGTCCCCACCCATCTGTCCCCAACCCAGCTGTACCCCCTCCTGTCCCCTCCTGTGTCCTCTCACATCTGTGTCCTCTTGCTCCATATGCTCCTGTCTTGTCTGTTCCCCACGCCACCTGTATCCACCCCCACCTATCCCCCCTACATCCCCGTCAGTTCCTGCCCAACTGTTCCCCTGCCTCACCTGTCCCTGCCCATTCCTCCCTTCCGTGTCCCCCATGTCTATATGCTCCCCTGTCCCATCTGCCCCCCCATTCCACACTCCGTCTGTCCCCTACCCCACCTGTGTCCTGCCTTCCATCTGACCCCTCCCCTCTCTGCCTCATCTGTTCCTCCTCTGTTCTCTGCCCTCTGTCCCTCTCCACATACCCGTCTGTCCCTCAGCCCTGTGTGTCACCTGCCCCATCTGTCTCTGTCCTTCTGTCCTCCACCCCATCTGTCCTGCCCTGTCTGTCCCTCCGTGGGATCTGCCCTCCACATGGGCCGCTCACCTGCTCCTGCTGAACCACAAACAGGACGTCCTCTCCCGGCCGCACGGCCACCGCCTCTCCGCGGATGCTGACCCGCAGGCCCCGAGGTGGTGAGAGGGGGCACTGGAGGGCGGCTGCCCCGCGCTGCAGGTCCACACCACCTTTGCACACATTGGACACCACCTTCCGGTACCTGCCGAGGGGAGAGAGGACAGGCCAGGTCAGAGGTCAGCCACCCGGCCAGTGAGCCCCCTGGACAGCTTGTCCCATGCACTGTACCCTCTCAGGATCACAGAAGCCGAGGCTCAGATGCTGTGAGCTACAGTGACACTGCCAGCTGGGGTCCCCATGTGGACACTCTCTCCGAGATGGACCATGGCCGACTCAGCACGGTTGAGGCCACAAGTGCCCATCTCCTCATGCCCCCGCCCCCTTTTCTCTCCAGGGGACTGAGCAGAGGTGACTAGAGGTGACTGGCCAAGCACACACAGGCCACGTTAAATAGTGAGGTGAAACAGGACCTGGCCCCTGGCGAGGCCTTCCGGCCCCTCATCAGGACACACGAGGCAGTCAGCTTCCTCAGCACAGCCATGGACACACTGGGCCCCTCCCTGGGGCCCCTGAAGCCTGTCCCACAGGCACCACCCACGGCCTGGGCTGGGCTTGGAGTCAGTGAGATGCAAAGTCTAGCATGGAAGGACTTAGAAGGACAAAGGTGGGGGTGCTTCTGTGGGTGGGGAGACCCCACCTCTTCTAGGTATTATAGCAGGAGTGGGCTAGCCTTGTCCCTGTGACTCTGCTGTGTGGGCCGGACTGATCAACGGTCTTCAGCCAGGGGCATGTGCGCCTGTGAACCCTGCAGGTTGGACCCCTAGCTAGGCCTCTCCCACCTCCAGGTCCTGCCTGCTCACCCAGGACTTCTGGTGTAGGTCTGTACCCCGAACCAGGCCCCTCCTGACCCCAGGCCCTGCTGGTGTGGGTCTGCACCCCAAGCCAGGCCCTTCCTGCCCCCAGTCCCTGTCCGCTCACCCTGGACTGCTGGTGTAGGTCTGTCCCAGGGCACAGTCCTCGGGAGGGGACTCTGGATCAAACCAGAAGTTAGCTAAGCACCTGCTGGCGTCGGACTCCGAGGCTGGGGTGCGCTCAAACCCATAGTCGCTGGGAGAAAAGGTAAGTGGTCAGAGGGGCCAGGCTGGAGGGCATGCGCCTGGGCAGGAAACAAAGAGGAAGCCATAGGCCTAGTAACTGACAGAGAGGGGGACGTCCTGGTGGAGACGAGAGCCAGATGTGAGGGTGCCTTTCAGGGAGGCAGGACGAGGGGCAGCTGGAATGCAAACAGGAGGGGGAGGAGCTGGGGGTTGGTCCTGGGACTGGGATGTCTCCTGTGGGCAGTGAACACATACAGAAGTACAAGAGCAAGAGCTTTCGACCAGGTCTATGGACAGTGGAGGGGCCGGGCGGTGCAGTGTCCAGCATGTCCACCCTAGTTGACCTGGCCCTCATTCTCTGGACAGGCATGTCCTGTGGACACTGCAACCTCAGGTCCCACATGCTCCTCCCTCACAGTGGACCATCCCTCCTCTTCCCGACCAGGCTAGACTTGGTGACCGGCTTCTATGAGGACAGCGAGGGGAGACTGACAGTGTGTGGCCAGTTCTTAGCTGGGTGTGAGGGCGAGGATAGCGGCCATCTTGTGAGGGACACAGTGGCCGTAAGAGGGCTTAGGGGAGGATCAGGGGAAGCCGACAGGCATCCCGTGAGGGACACAGTGGCCGTGAGAGACCTCAGGGCGGAGGGTGGAGCTCTGCGCTCTTCTCACCATAGGAAGTCTGTGTTCCTGCACTCACACACTTGGGACGTGAGTGCTGATGTGAAACTTCTGCCCTTGATGCACCAGGACGTGGCTTTTCTCTTGCGGAAACTCCTCTGCTGGCCCATGATGCAGTGGTCGCCCTGCGGGAGACAGATCAGGGTGGACCGTCATCTCAAGGTGGGGTGTTCTCCATACGGCTCTCAGCTTCAGGTCTTTCCTGCCCCAGAAACGGCTGACCCTCAAGCCCTACGAGCAGCAGAGGGGGAGCACCGTGTCACAAATGTGGAAACCGTGGCCCAGCCTTGACCTTGGATACCTGAGGAGCAGTCCCCATCAATCTAGCCCATGGTCTATAGAGCATCCACTGTGTACAAGCCCCAGCTGGGCTGAGGGGTCACAGAGCTGAGAAACGTGTCCCCTCAGGCCTCAGGGATCATGGGGAACACTGGTGGACCTCAGAGTCCCTGCTGAGAGCACCCCAAGTGACAACCCCTTGGGAAGCAGACTCTGGAGGGTGGGTCACCCCTCAGTCTGTGCAAGAAAGAAAGATTACTGGGGCAGAAGCAGGAATCTGGCCTGTGACACAATGGTGGGACAGCCACAGGGGTCTTTCTTGAGAGCTGGAACATTGTGGAAATATCTGCTTGCAGGGCTGGGTGTGGACTGTGGAACTGGGTCGTGTGGAGCAAGATCCCTGGCCCAGCACAGCCTTGGCTTGAAGAAGGGTCTACAAAGTCCTGCAGAAGGAGCGTCTATCTGGGAAAACTTCCCCGAGCAGGAGGGACCAGTTATGGTCTGCAGCACAGGGGTCCTGGTTGGCAGGGGTGGGCCCAAGAGCCTTGCACCCACTCTCTCAGGAGCCTGAAGTTCCCCCCAGGGGTGTCTGTGTCACCCCCTCAGAGACACATCCACTTCCTCAGAACAATCTGTATCTGTCCCCCGAAAGGGCCTAAGTTTGACTCACATGAGCCCCTTAGGTCTGGTTCTCAGAGGTCTCCACAACCACCTGAGAGGAATCTGCGTTTGTCCCCCAGAAGTACCCATGTTCCCTCCAGAAGACCTGCCCACCCTCCAGAGGTTCCTAAGTCATCCACTCAGAGGAAATGTGTCCACTCCCTAGAGTCATTTCAACCCCCAGTGGTCCCCATGTCTACTCTACAGAGGCCCTGTGTCCTCCCCCAGAAGGCCTGCTTGCCCTCCCCAGAGATCCCCATGTCCACTCCTGGAGGTCCCCATGTCCACCCCAGCCTCACCTGCAGGTCTGTAAGCTCCCAAGAGCCATAGTCATCATCACCACATGGCCGGGGGAATGAGGGCCGGAAGTCCACCTTGACCAGCTCCCAGTCAGAGCGGAAGCTGATGTGGCCGAAGACCCTGGGGGACAGCGGGAGAGCCCCTTAACCAGCCGTCATTCTCTGTGCACTCACTGTCCTCAGGACCTCAGTTTCCCCACCTGACCGAGGGTCCCAGGAGGCCTCCTTGCCCCCAAGGGTCACCAGGGATTCAAGCAGAGCAGAGACTGGCCTGTGCCAGCCTCAGGTGCCCAATCAGGGAGGAGCCAGCGTGGCCCAGGGTTGGATCCCAAGAATTGGATTTTGGCTTTGGGTCCTTCTGTAGGGTCCCTCTCAGCACTGAGCTGTGGACAAGGAAGGGGATGTGCAAGTGGACACAGGCACCCCAGCTGGGCAATACTGTTTCTCAGAACACAGTCCAAATCAGAGTGCTGGGTCACGGGGACTCTGACACCACACAGCTCAGCCCCAATTGTGGGTCACGGGGACCCTAAAACCACACAGCACAGCCCCAGCTGTGGGTCATGGGGACCCTGACACCACACAGCTCAGCCCCAACTGTGGGTCACAGAGAACCTCAACACCATACAGCCTGACCCCAAATGTGGGTCACGGGGACCCTAAAACCACACAGCCCCAACTGTGAGTCACAGAGAACCTCAACACCAACTGCCCTCAGGAGCTCTGTTTCCCCACCTGAACAACAGCCTGACCCCAAGAACCTGGGTCAACCTGTTCAACAGCCTGACCCCAACTGCTCGGTCATGGGAACCCTGACACCACACCGCCCAACCCCAATGGTGGGTCAGGGGGCCCCTGGTAACAGCCTGACCACAACTGTGGGTCATGGGGTCCCCTGACACCATCCAACATTGACTGTGGGTCACGGGGACACCAACACTGCACAGACTGACTGCATATCCCATCCACCTGGTTTTCAAGAGACATGAGACAACATCATACGTGTGTGCAGAGGGTACAAGAGAACCACCGGCTTGCCAGCTACGCCCGGAGGGGTGGGACTAGGAGGGGGGGGCTTGTCCTGTGGACCTGGATGATTGCGAACTTGGAGCAGGACAGCCTGACCCTCCTAGGGCTAGTGGACACGAGTCAACAAGGCCATGTATGAAGGTCACTGAGAGTATGAAGGGCAGGAGTGAGAATGATGAGCAGTTCTGCTCAGGATGTGATGTATGTGGGCCCAGGGAGTGTGCATGGCAGCACTGAATGCAGGAATGGACCAATGATTCACCCCTGGGTCTTCGGGGTTCATGCACTCATACACCAGCATGTGTCACAGGAGCCAGGCAGCGACTTCTCCCAGCAGTGCGTCACCTTATTCCCTCATTACTGGGTCTGGCAGGTAGGATGGGGCAGTCTGGGCAGGTGGACTCTCTGTCCCCTCAACAAAAGGCTCAGAACAGAGGTGCTGATGGCCCTCACCCATCATGCTAAATGCAGTGTGCAGCCAACAAGGGACCTTAGTACATCACGGGAGAGCAAGGAGGGACAGGAGTGTGGCTAGGGGTGATGCCTACGTCAGGCATGCGTGCTCAGCCCTACACTGCACTGTGTCTCCACTCCTTCTCAATTAATGGTAACCGAGAGCCCACCTCCATCATACCATCCTCACTGCCACTGTCATCATCACCACTGTACCACCATCACCTCCATCACATCCTCAGCACGACTATAATGATCACCACCCTCTTCATCACCATCACCTCCATCACATCATCTGTCCATCATCATCACCATTATAACCATCACAACATCATCACCATGACTACAATGACCACCACCAACATCACCTCCATCACCATCACCTCCATCACATTACCACCTCCATCATCACCTCCATATCATCATCATCACCACCTCCATCATCATCACCATTATAACCATCACAACATTACCACCATGACTACAATGA